AAAGCATAGTTTGGGTACATTCATGAGAAAAGCAATATTCAAAAAATACACATTTAATAGAAAATTAGAATTTAGATATTAAAAATGATTGGTTACATCTAATCAGAACATGTTAAAATATACCAACCAAATAAAGGGTAATAAGTTTGCAATCCATTAAATTATGGCATAGTTAAATGGTACTCTATTTTTTTTGTGCAATAATAATCTTTATTATAAAAGGAAAAGAAAGATACCTAAAATCTTTGGATGCAATAATAAAGACCAAAGTTTCAAATGTCCAAAATGTCCTTACGCGGGTTTTGAAAGCAATAGTCTGGTTTAACATAGAATCTGGTTCTTCATTTAATGTTGCCAATCTCAAATCAACTACTAGTCTCCAAGAATTCATCTCTATCGAGATCACACCATATGTTGGTAAGAACACACATAAAATAGGGAATTAATTAGAAAAGAAAGAAACATACTTATCAGATGTTGAGATTAGAAAGTTTATGATGTCCTTTAGTTGCGGAAATCCTTTTCTAATGCTAAGGACATCTGACAAACCAACCTGTGAAAATCTACCAAATGGAAACCAAATAAGATCAGAACAAAACAAACAAAATAGTGAGTATTTCAAACGATTAATGAAGAAACTTTAAATTATTGAGATGCATAATTTATAGATTAATTAATTTGCTTAGCTATACCTATTTCTCCACCAAAAAAATAAATAAATAAATAAATTTGGTTTGCATCGTCCCTTTTTTAAAGATATATTAAAGAGATTAACAATCAACAAATAATATATAACATTAAATATATCAATTTAAAATAAGCAACTACTAGCTTCATACTTTAACAACATTAAATATAAAAATTATAGGAATAATAGGAGCTCCAAAACTAGGAGTTATAATCCACATTTGTGTCATTAGATGGTGACATGGTTCTTGCCATGGACACCCAAGCTGCTAAAAAGGAAATAGTTTTCAGGATGCTATATTTTGATCTATACATAAAAGACACACTTATTTACATTTGTGGTGTTATCTCATTTTAAAGTCTCAAAGAATTAAAATTAATGATAAATAGTTTTTTCTATTTTTGTTTTAAATACTATTTAGTTTCTTCCATGTGTCTTTTTTGCATAAAATTAGGATGAAATTTATTTAGTAAATAGCCACTTAAAGTAAAAAAAAAAAAAATCACAATCTAAACAAACAAGCATATCCAGGAACTTTAAAGAATTTCAAAAAAAATATTTTATGAATCATCTAAACATATTACAAAGATTATTAAGAAACATCATATAAGTACACAATGATTCCAATATAAATCTTCCATTTCTTTTATGTAGTGGGTGGGGTATCTAATAGAAATAGAAGAAAACCTACCGTCGATAAACAACAATCCAACAAGATTCAAATTTTCTAATATTAAACTCCATTGAAACCAAATTATCAGAAACCTTCATATAAAAAGCACTTTACCAATTTTTTTCAATTAAACTTTAGCAATTACCTGAATCGATTAAGAGGATTAGCGAGGGCTGCATAACACGCATGATAAAACCCTAAAATAAACATCAATAGTAAAATAGAAAATGAATGCAGATGACCGCAAAAGTCTTTAAAGAAGATGCAAACGATGAGAAATAAGTACATACCTTCTGATACGTGAGGTGTGGGTGTGTGACCGATGGCTGTTAGGGTTAGAAAGAATGAGCGATGATAATGGTGGAAATGAAGGTGACGGTTATACCTTTTCAACCCGTACCATGCTCTGAGAACATTTTTCACCATTTTATAATGAGAGAGTAGATGCACTTTGTTTGTTTTTTCCACCATAAGTTTAAATTTTTTAATAGAAATTCTTAAAAATTAGCTTATTATACTAGTGATAAGTTAAATAAGCTCATTTTAATAACCATACATTGTCGTGTTTATTGGTTATTGGTTTTTTTAATCCTACTTAATGAATGTTTTTTTGCTAGTTATCAATCTGTCATGAGTTTGGACATTTGTCATTTTGTGGTAATTTTGAAATAAATATTATCCATTTGTCAATTTTTGGTTTGTTTTAATTTTTAATTAAAGTCATATACTTATATATGTAATTAAAGTATTAAATATCATATATATGATAGTAAATTGTAATAAATACGTTTCTTTTTTTCTTATTTTAAAGTTGTACATTGAAACTATTTCATTTTTATACTTTAAACTTAATCAATTTTTAAATCAACCCGTATAATATACGAGTTTCACACCTAGTAAGCTAATAAGCTATAAGCTAATTTATCCAAACATCCTCTTATTTTTGAATCCATCCACCCTTGTTTAAAGATATATTAAAAATATTAACAATCAACACATTAATAATATATAACCCAATATATCAATATAAAATAAGTAAATATTGGCATCTAATTACACCTTTAGGAGCTGTTGTAGGAGTTACAGAAATCAACATTGATGGCTTATTAATCGGAAATTAATCGTTTGACGGTCTACAACATATTAAGTTTGTGTTCAATTTAAATTTGTTAATATTTGTCAAACTCTCTTTGACGATTCAGGGCACTCCTTAGTGGTCGTAAGTGGAAATAATTAAAAAAATTCAAATTTCAAATATTGCACTAAAATTTTAAAAATTAAAAAATTTTAAATTTTCAAATATGCAAATATTCAAATATCATACAAAATATTTCGTATATTTAATATTTCATAATTTTAAATGTTCAAATATTTATTTTCCCAATATATATTATGTTTTTAAATGGTGTTATTACTAATTTAGGGCCCCTGATTAATATCTAATTAATCACCGTATATACCAATTAATCCTTTAACCCAGTCGACTGTTGAGGTCCTACCGAGCATTTTTTACAACCTTGGTGTGTTATAATGAGGAAGTAGATATAAGTATTTTAGGATCCATCGACAATTTGGAATTAGCTTTGTAAAAGAGAAACATAACCAAGAGAAATCAGGAACAAGTTTTAAGGATGAAGGGCAAAATTTGTATTTTAAGTTGCTAGAAGGAACCGAATACAAAGAATAAGAGGAGGTTATAAAAGTAATTTAACTTTCATTAAGACACCAAGGAAAAAATGCCACTTATCATAAGAATGAGTCTTTTATTATAATAAGAATTTTTAAATAACTAAAACTAGGGAAGAATGTCACACCCCCAAACCAGGACGACGGAGACGTCCGGGGGCGGATGATGCTATTGTATAGTATTATAACAATTGAATATAAATGAACATAGCAGCCCATACAACATACATTAAGAGATACAAACTTTCATTGTTTACATGGTGTATTTGTTCAAAGTTTACACAACATTAACTGAAAGGTAACAATTCCAAAGTACAACCAAAAATCCAGTTCTCGACGATTTAAGTACTTACTTACTGGTTTCTTGAGAATACAAGTCATTTTGAAAATCTTCAACAATGAATGTTGGTGAGTTCATAAGCATTTTTTTATGAAAATCGGTTTGTATCTGTTTCGTTTGAAAAGTATTGAATGTTTCAAGAAAATTCGATATTATCTATAACAGTGAATTGTATGTCTTATACCAAACACTACAAGAAAAATGACTTACAGTCACACCAAAAAAGTGTGACTATATACGTATAGTGACATTTTATTTTTTTCACTGAAAGTGTGACGGAAGGTGACGTCATCGTATGGGTCTTATGGTCACTTTAAAATGTAGTGTCTATATGCTATGAAAACATGTGGCCGTAGTATAAAAGTGTGGCAAATGTGTACCGAATTTTGTTCCTTAAATATCCAATATTGTAGCGTTAAACAGTTATTAGTCACACATATTTATTTAACGTTGTGACTATATATCACCAAAATGCTACATTCATGATGTTTTAGTGTAGTTGTTTTCTTACATATGGTCACACAATTTAAATTTTATTAAGACTATTGTGTATCTTTTGTAAACTTTTAATTGTGAGTGTGACCATGTTTGCTAAATGGCGACAAGTACTTTACTTTCATATGTGACGAATTGCTAATTATTAGTCACAAAAAACAATCAACATTTGTGACTATAACCTAACGTATATTGACAAACGAAGAAGTGAATTAAAATCATAAGTATTATAAAGTCACACATTTTGTTAAAATTAAGGACAATTCGGTATTGTATTAAGACTATTGGGGATATTTTAGACGCATATAATTTACAGTAACCTTGTCCGTGTTCGGTAAATGGACACATATAATTAATGATCGTTGTGACGATTTCGTAGTATTTAGTCTTAACAACAATCAATTATTGTATTTATTTGCCACATAAATTGTTTTCCATGTTGTTATTGTTTAACTTAGTGACAATTTTTTTTTAATAAACATCACTTTAAATCAATTGTAGTCTCATAATTCTTGTATATTATGACTATTATTAACCATTTAGTCACACATTACAAATTGATGTAAAGTAACCTTTGTATATTTTTAGAAACATTAAAAACATTTATAACATGGCAAAAATCATACTACAGCCACTATAACTTACTATTTACTGTTACTTTTTATACATTTTAGACACATGAAAATACTTTAAATTAAAGTAACGAAACACAACAATATGAAACACAAACAAAATTCATAATTTTATATTAATAATAATTGAAATCGAAATCCATATATACATTACATTCCTAATTAAAATATCAATGAAAGGAAAATTTTCGTAATTTAAAGAATTTATATAATGGTTAAAAAAATCAAAGACATCATAAACCAAAACCTAAACATAATTAGCTAGGTATTCATTTTGTTTGTATTGCTCCTTGTCTTCTTCAGAAGGGCATAAGATGATATTTAAGTTGGTTTCCTTTTTGTTGATTTTTGATATGATATAATTTCTGGTACCTATAACAACAACATTGAAACCAATAAAATTAATTCATCATAAACTTAGTATAGTACTTTATGAAGAAAATAAAGTTTAATGCAAAAAGTATCGCACATATTGAAACAAACCTCTTACTCAGTTTGCACAAGGTATTTTGGCCATGGAACAAAACTTTTATATACATCCTCAACTAATTTGTATTCTCCAGTTTGATGGGGTAGAAATGCATTTTTTACAACCACTTCATCAATGGAAACTTTATAGCAATCATCTTGTAGAGGAACTCCATGAATGAATTGTCTTTCTGATGATAAGTGAATGGTACTGCGGGCAACGATGTTCCTTTTATACGAATATGATAGACTACACTTGATTGGCTACAATGACAAGTAATGTTATAATCTGGAAGAAAAACAGAAATGTATATTCATCGTTTAAAAAAAAACACTGACATGGTGAATGCGATTATTTGGTGAAACTTTTGGAATGTCATGATTGATGGTGGTAGTCTTAGACTCAACTGTTTTCTTGGTGGTTTTTGTATTTGCCCGATATCAAGATTTAAGACATAATTAAACATATATTTTAATAAAAAAGATTAAATAAAAGTATTGAAAACTGTAAGGTTAGTATATACTACTATTGCATATTTCATGGAAATCAATTTTGCATCGGGTGCTGCAGTTGCAGATTTTGTTTGAACATGTTTTTTGTTGGGTTTTGGAATAACCTACATAATATACAGTCCAACATGAAAAATCAGAAATCAGTATCAAACAAATATATATATATATATATATATATATATATATATATATATATATATATTTATCAATGATGATCTAATAAGACGATAACATACTATTGTTACATGTTCTGAAGGTTCATTGGTTTTGAGACTAACAGGAGACGTTTCATTACTTTGTATAATCTTCTCACTTGAAATACTCTAGAAAATATAAAGAAACAGGAAAAATGTTTTAAAAAAATGCAATTTAGAACTAACATTGACAACAGATATTTTCAATAAGATTACTTACAATTGTATGAGACAGATTTGGAAAGTCAACTCTTTTTGCATTAAGATGAGCCAAAACTAGCTTTAGTGTTTGATCTTGTTCATTAACCTTTGTAGACAAAGCCTTGAGTTCAGCATCTTTTTTCTCAAGCTCAAGTTTTCCATTATGCAGTGCAACTTTAAGATCTTTAATTTCTTCCTTAGATGATCCTTTGCTGCGAGGAACATTGAAATATTTGTTGTAAGTGACTCCCATGCCGACACCTTTTAAAAATCTTCCCTTTTCCTTGCCAAAAACTAAGGTCATGGCATCCGTTCTTGGTTCAACATTTACTTGTCCTTCTTTTATCTCCTTCTCATGTTCCATCTACCAAACAAAAAATTAATAATTATTGTCTTAATAATAGTGATTAAAATATTTAAAGTAAAAGTAAAAGAAAAGTGTAGTGAAGTTACTAGTTTATCAGCCATGATTTTAACATCTTCATCCTTAAATTCTTCTTTACTTTCACGCCCTTTACACCATGTTGAATTTAAGAACAAACTTAAAGATCGATTAGATCTATGAAACGGGTAGATAAATGACTAAATAAACAATAAAGAACAAGCTAATGACTCAAAAGGTGTCGAATGATTCAATAAACAATCCTCAGAAGAGCTTGATAAAGAACGTCAACTGTAGAGGATTTTAGGGTTTACAATATTCAATGAGAGTGACGACCGTTACCATACGCATACATGCATGCATATATTTATAACGAAACCCTAACAGTTTTTCTAAGAAAAAGAAGGCTAATCTAGCTGAACACGGATTGACAAGGCCAATCCGGTTGTAAAACAAAAGGGCCCAAGACGCAACTCTATTATCTTCAACAATCTCCCCCTTTGCGTCTTTGGTACAGAATCTTCATTCTCTTTTAACAGCAGAAGGCTTCTTTACCGTTTCAAAAATCCTCGGTATTATAGCCAGAATGTGATGCCTGAAGGTGATATACCAACGAAGCATATCAGTGAAGTTCTTCTTGTCTGCTGTTGAGTTCTGCTTGCATCGGTGAATGATATTTATAATATGCTCTAGACAATCTGTTGAAAAGAGATGTTTGTCTACCAAAGCAAACAGAAACTTATGCCTGTCGCCTCTTGTGAACATGAGCGTCAGATTGGAAGAATCAATTTGCCCTACCTTCATTTTATGAACATCTCCTGTCTTGGAAGTAGGCTTGACGGTCGGTTTCTTGTTCATAATCTTTGCTATTTCCTGATCCATAGTGGCAAGCTCATGGATGTAGGAAGCCAACATTTTTTTGAGATGTTTAAGAATCGGTTCATACTCTCTATGATTGGAGAGAAGAATGTTGTATAGCAGAATCCAATCATGCGGATTCAGACTGGGAAGATCTGCCAGAGAAATGAGATGTTCTGTGTTGGCCGTTCCTCTATTGATTTTGAAATTAACGTTCACAAATTTCCCAGCCTGTGTCGGTTTCAGTACCTTGACTTTAATAATCTTCTGAGCAATCCATGTCAAGTACTGCGGTTGACCATACTTCAAATAGAACTCTATTAATTCCCTGTCAACCTTCAAGTTTGGATGAGGGACATCGGCAGTGACATCAAAGCAATGAAATGTAAAAGCTTTTCGCGTGATTGGCATGTCAAACTGCGAGCCCTTTGGTATTTTCACACTCGAAAGATGCAATCGGTTCCAACCAATATATGGAGGGAAACTCAATCGCTTGATTGATGAGTGTGTCTCTGTCCCATTCTGGGAACAAAGTCTTCTTAGCTTGTATAGCATCCTCATCCTCCTTGATCTTTCTTTCCCTAGCCTCGGCCTCTCGAGCTATTTTAAGAGTTTCATCTAGCTCTTTGTCCCTTTTCTTCCGTTGAAGAGCTTCAGTGATAGTTTCATCTGTATCTGACTCGCTCTCAACAAGGAACTGTTTCCCAGAACCCGAAGCTACATTAACCTTCGGTTCTGTCTTTGATACACCTTCCTCTCCCCCTTGTCGCGGAAGAACAAGCTTCTCCGAGACACCCTTCATTTCGCTCAAGATGTTAATTGCAGGAAGGAGTTTAGCCTGGAGATGTTGTCTGATAGTAAGGTTTAAGGAAGGGATCATGAGTGTCAAGAACATTTGTCAACATATTCTTGACATCACCAGCGCAACCTTGAAGAACTACCCGCTGAGTCTTTAGCAAAGAAATTTCTTGTTGTGCCTAGGCCAGTTGTATCTTTTGTAGGTCGATAGTTGCCTGATGCTTGACAAGATCTTCCTTTAGGGTGCTCTCTGCTGCTAGAGAAGCAAAACGTGAATCCAAAGATTTGAGAAAGGAGGTGGATTCAGTTTTGAGGTCAGCACGCAGAGCCTCAAACTTGGAGGTTTCACCCTGAAGGGTAGCCGAGAAAGAGTCAACGGACGTCTGAAACTTGGCCGCACTGAAATCAGCATGGGCTTTTAGAGAATCAAGAAAGATCTGAGTTGTGTGAACAACCTCAGAAACTTCCTTTGTGGCTTTGGAGCATGAAGCAGCTGAGTTGTCGATGGCATCAGTTGAACGATCCAGAGCGTCAGTGTACGTCTTGATCGCAGACTCAATGAAGGCTTTTAGCAAGACACCCCCGTAGGCTTTATTATCAGCCAGCAGACTATCGAGTTTGTCGTGAATTTCTTGAATCTGCTGACTAGTAACAAGGGTATCGGCATCAGTGTCTGTGGGAATCTGGTATGGGCTATAATAAAGAGAGTCGAACTCTTCATCATCACCGCCCAAGGTAGCACCGGAGTTGGAGGATGGAGAAGGAGATGGGGGAATGTTGATGACAGGGGTTTCAACCACAGTAGTAGCCCCTGTATCAGATACATTGACTGTTACTGGTGGTTGGGAAGAGGTGATAGTAACTGATTTGGTGATAATTGGTGTGGGGATAGAGGATGAAGGTTGAGAAACAGAGAGTAGAATGATTGGTTCTGTTGTAGTGGGAGGGATGGTCATAGGAACAGAAAGTGGAACCTCCTGTGTTGGTGATTGGGGTGGGGTAGGAATTTTAGGGGAAGTGGGAGGAGTGGGTGATTTGGTAATTTTGGGAGATGCTGGTGGAGAGGGTGATTTGGGAATTTTAGGAGATGCTGGTGGAGAGGGTGATTTGGGAATTTTGGGAGATGCTGGTGGAGAGGGTGATTTGGGAATTTTGGGAGATGCTGGTGGAGAGGGAAGATGAGTGCCTGCAGGAGAAGATGGTTGTTGAGGAGACTGAGCAATGGTTGTCTCAGTTGGAGGAGCAGCAGCCTCTGTGTCGGATGGGTCATTAGGAGCAGAGCCAGGAGAAGGAGACCCTTTGGCTCTTTTAGCCATCTTCTTGACCTTCTTGGATTTGGACTGAGAAGGTTCCTCTGCATCAGATTTGCGTTTGGAGGATCTTCGCTTTCTCTCCTTTTTCGGTTCAGATTCTTTCTTCTCTGGTTTCTCCTTTTTGCTGGCCCTCTTGCCACGGTTGGCAGGTTGATCAAGGGCGTCTAGTGCAGCTCTCTGTTCATTAGATAGAACCCTTGGAGGCAAGGGTGTTCTGGTGCTATAGTCAGCCATGATTTTGCTGTGAGGCGTGACACACCTATACATGGATTCAGGGATCAATCCATAATGGAGAAACTTACTTGGATCAGAGACGATGATCTTCTTGGTGTGGTAAGAGGCAATTGAAGCCATAAGAGCATCCTTCATCACCGGGATTTCAAGGGAATCCATGGCCTTTTTTGTAATAAGCGTCCAGAAACGGCCGCATGATATCTCAGAGTACCGTGTAGTGGTGTTGAGACTCTGAACGACTTGAGACCAGATTATGGAGCCATAATCTAGATTGATTCCGTTGTAAAGACCATACAGGATGGTGAGAAACCCTTTACTCGTGGTGTCAGAACCACCACACCTCTCCGCTAAAACCTTAATCAAAAGGGTAAGCAATCCATTCCACTAAGACGGAAGACAGGATTTCTTGACCTTCGCGATAGTAGTAAGAACATCCGTATACCCCATCTCGTACATCATTGAGAAGAGTTGAGTAGTGGTGATAAAATCCGGTGAGATGACGGAAGAATCAACTACAAGCCCCTAGAAGAGAGCAAAACCTTGTTTTGGACACAAAGGTTTTCTTGTCGTGGATGGTGAAGTAGATGCGATCTTTGTGTTTGTCATAGTTTGCTGTTGTGTAGACTTGAGAAAGCAAGGACATTGGAACGGCTTCCACCTGCGTGAGTGCTAACAGCAATAGGGAATATTTTAGGCATTCCACCACGTGTAGCATGTAAGAATCATATAAGAACGGGGTCATCTCTATAATCATATTTTGATTAGGTTTGATGGAGAGCAAGGGATGAAGATGCAGTTTGATCTTGTGCAGAAGAAGAAGTCGCCATTGTTGAGTTGTGGAAGATGATGAACAGTGGAAACTTTTCAGAGAGAGAGAATTCGTGGGAGGTAAATGCCAAAGAACACGATCACCCTTATTTATACCGTTCACTGGAGAGAGAAAATCGTGATGATGAGGAAACCAAAATGTCGCCTGAAAAAGCGCGATTGGAAGTTATGGTGTATCCAGGAATACGTCAGCACACGTGGGTGTGAAACGAATCAATTGCACGCGCCCAAATCATTTTTGTACGTTTGAAATTCCTTGTGCCCTTGTTTGGTTACAACTGAAACTTAAAACCATATACCAAACAACAATCAGAATGTTGGAAAAAATTAATTTTCGTGCATAAGAGTGTGAAAGATAAAGAAATAAATCAAAGGTGTTTGGGATGTGAGTGTTGTCTATTAAGAAGACAGAAAGCGGAAGATTCCGGGCAGAATCGCTTCCTTCAAAGCCAAGAGAGACTTGAAGTGCTTATGTGGTTTCCCGGGAAATACGATCAGTTGTCTATTAATAACAATGAAAGGCATCTTTTGATCATGGTCTGAAAGGTGGCTGACCTCTAACCGAACATCAAGTCTTAACATAAAATGAGTGTTGGCAGAGATACCTGTGAGACCGATGTGATCTGTTGAACAGGTAGGTGGGAATTATCGCGTGACAAGCATGGGATAGACAGAAATCTCAAGAAAAATAAGTGGACTCTTTGGAAGAAATGTCTTAGGTGGAGACGATTTCATAAAAGATCACACAAAAGAAAATGAGATTTCCAAGTAATAGCTTGAGATATCACTCACGTCAATTCATTTTAGGTATTGGATTTTGGGTTCACTTAGAACGTGGTAATCGAATCCAAGATCATAAACACGGAGGTTGTGTAACCATAAGCTTCAGTAGTAAAGACCGAAAGCATCAAGGGTTACTTTAGGGAATTGAAGGTAAATGTAGAATTTGAG